GCACCTAAAATCTAAAAAAAAAAAATTTTTTTTCATTGACTTTTTTGATAGGATTTTTCCTTGGCTTTCCAGTGCCGTGATCGGAATTTTAAAATGTTAACTGTACCGTGACGCACAGGTTATTTAGTACCGATACTTTTACGATTATTTAGAAAAAATGAATGAAACGACTCAAAGATATATCGTGGCCAATCTTTCATGAATCTCGAGACTTTCATAAGTCCGTAGCGCCATCTATTGATACTCGTTTTATTCTTTGGTTAGAGTACATCCAGCAGAAATTTGTTTGTTTACATGGCTATAGGTGTACAGTAACGCCACCACTCGCAGCACGTGGGTTTCGGCATATCTTCTGTCTCTCTCTGTTTCGTGCACGAGCCCTGATCAAATGTCAACAACAGTCTGCTGACTGCTTCTTGATTTTCCAATGGCTAAAAATTACATTTTTTTTAAAGTGAAAAAAGTATATGTAGAGTGCAATTATATCTTTGCAACTCAACATAGTGTTTCATAATAAAGCTATGAAGAAGTTTCAATAGCTTGTTATAAAAATGTGACATTTTTAGCAGTTCTAATTCAAGAAATACAGAAGTACATATGTAAATTGACATATATACATCAGTGTATATGTATGTCACTGTACTTTATGTATGTGTATATGACTGTATCATATATATTATTGTATGTTGCATGTGATGAACAAGATTAGTGATAATTGATCAACTTGTAGTGATTTATTTCCAAGTATCTAGTGATAAATGTTTTATGAATGTTAGTGAATAGGTAGAAGACTGGGTTCAAGTTCTAATGTGAGATTGTGTATATTTGTGTGAAAAGTTGATTTGGACATAATCAACTTAGTTACCAGTTTCCACATAAAACCCATATTAGCGTATACTAACATTTTAGTACAACTTATAAAATGTAGTAATGAAATTGGCGCATTTGGCTTTGTGTGGCTGTCTGGGATAATTGAACATTGTCCTTGTGGGTCCAATATGTTGAAAATTCAAATTGAATTACTGTTCTTTATCGTCCAAAAAGTTTTAAGCAGCCTCAGTGACATGAGAGTATCATTATGACATATATTGATGTATTTTGGTTTTTTTCAACTCTTGGGCAGTTACGTTTAATCTCAAAATTGCTTGCATGCCGTAACTTTTAATGAGAACCGTTTGAGCAATTGAGCTGAAACTTTCAGGGGTTGTTCTACATGTGAATGGCTACAAACGCAAGCACTTTCAAAGGTATTGGACAAAATTTGCACTTTTTTCAGGCTACATCCCTAGCATAATTGTATTTTATTATATAGTATTAATGAATAAATGTGCATATGTGGCTGGCAAATTGTGTATAACTAATTAAAAAATCTGAAAGTGCTTGCGTTTGTAACCACACATCTACTGATCAAAATGAGACCCCAAGGACCATGATTGAACCATCGGTTCTAGCTGGATCCTACGGCACAGGGGTACCTGTCAGGACTGTGGGCTTGCTTCATCGAGGAGGGTTCTATGGTGACTGGGACCTCAATTTTCATATTCCAGAGAGAAAAACTTTGAAAAAAGAGTGAAGAAAACAGAGTTTTCTCTGTATATTCCAAAAAAAATTTTTTTCTTCATAATTAATAAATTTTTCATAAATGTAGGTTTAAGGTACCTTTCCCCCCTTAATCGTCTCCACCGTATTAAGCCCTCCACTGGTTCCAGCAAGAAGAATTGATCGTAGTCGGTGTTCGCGCACAGCGTCTCCACCTCTCGGGGTGGCAACTGCATCAGATCGTAGAGCGACAAGTCCGTTTTTACCATGAACTCTTTCGCTTTGCTCGCGAACTCCTCGTCCTCGTACCAATTGGGTTCGAGATGTCCCGAGTTCTCGAATAATCCTCGCTTAGCGAAAAATTTCATGACGATCAGCGCTTCGCTTCGGTACAACTCGCGTCCCTTTTTCTCTAGGACATCGATGACTGCCAGGGCTAAAGACACCAGATCATACTTGAACTTATGGTCGCGATCGATTCGAATTTCATGGAACTGGTCAAAGTCCTCCTCGGTAGGAAAGACGAAGTCAGACAGATCAGCGCCACGATCCAAGAGTTCATCGACAATATGCGGAAAAAGACATGCCACGGCGTAATGCAGAGGTGTCCGACCCCACTTGTCCCGGGCGTCGATCTCCACCGACTGATTCAACTCGTTGTTGACCTCGAAGAATAGCTTAATCAAGCCAATACGATCACAGTCCCCCTCCGTGCAAACTTCGTGCAGAGGAGTGAATCCACGCGAGTCTGCCAAATTTGGATTGGCACCTCTTCTCAGCAACGATTTGACTTGCTTCTGTGATCTGTATCTCATAGCCAAGTGCAGCGGCGTCCGACCCTGCTCGTCCCGGGCGTCAATGTGCACCGACAGATTCAATTCGTCGACGATCCGAAAGAATTGCTTCAGCGCGTAATCGATGAAATTGTTGCTTACGAAGTGAAGAGGCGTCGATCCCTCGAGATTGGTCGAGTTCGGATCCGCGCCTCTGCTCAGCAGCAATGCGGCCACCCCAAAATGGCCGTCGTGTTCCAGAGCCAAGTGCAGCGGCGAGTTGCCATTTGTTGGCAAGGGACATGTATTGGGATCTACCCGGCCAAGATCGAGGAATTTCTCGACGATATCGTCGAAGCCGTACTGACAGGCTATGTGAAAATGAGTCATACCATCCTCGTCGACGTAATTCGCGTCGAATTTGTTAAAAATCTGGAATAGGTTGCGCATAGAGTCGTGGACGATACCGTGTCGAGCCGCTCGATGCAACGGTGTGGTACGACGCAATAGCGGCTCGCCATCTTCGCCGACTTTGGGCTCGTCTTTGTAGCCGGTACGAGCCAAGAACCCGATCACTCCATATTTTTGCCAAGGGTTCAGCTGCCTATCTTTGCTCGCGTAAATAGCGTTTAGCAGACTCTCGATTTCTCCTTCGCGAAAGATGTCTCGGTGATTTGGAACTGCGTCAGTCCAATCACGGACAAGAGGATAAAGTTGACGGATAAATTCATATCGCTCGTCCTCGATCTGCAAATTGAATCTTTCTCGCAATAACTTGAATGTTTCTAATCGATCCATTCTGCGCGCTCACGTACACGGCACACAATCACTTATAATTTATTATACTTTTTTTTCACTCTCTGCAGTCGATGCGATCGTTCTGTACGCTGCAGCGTCGTAACGTGTACTGGACTATCGTGCGTACACTACGGTCTACATGGAAAGTTAAAAAAACACATGGCCGTAAGACGATTAGAAAGCGTCTATGAAGGTTAGAAGGCGGTCGCTCGCGTGCGTTGTAATGCGGGCGGAAACGGGACAAAACATACGTATGCGACTAGACGATCAGTATTTAAAATGGAAAGGCGTCTCGTAAGTTTTATATATTATTCGGTCGGTATTATGTGCTGCTGCAATATGATTTCACGCGTATGTACAAGTCTATATTATATTTACATCTGGCACATGATCTTCTATCGGGTATACCATTCGAGAGCTCAAACTCGTAAAACTCAACAATTAAATGTCCTTGTTCGAAGCGTAGTCGATGCTAGTGAACTCTCTTGTTAATTAATTAATTCATTATCGAGATTTTCTTTACCTGGAGCATGATTCTCCCTCTATTTTTGTCAACTAACTTGAGAAACATTCTCTTTCTCTTATCGTCAAGGAAAACGGCCGGATGATCACGGCAGCGCAGCCAGCTTGACAGGCGCCGTAAGCCGTCGGTCTGCAGCAGCAATGCCAAAATGACCAGTACAGTCATGAGTGTATATTTCTGCATGTTGATCAATTCGATTCTGCTAAAACCGTTCAAAGTCGTATCAGAGTAAGATTAAGAATGTTAGGTCGATGCAATAGTGATGTTCGATGCTCAATTATTTATCGTAAAATTTTACATGGTCAAGTTGGTGATCAATGCTTCGCGTGATAGTATATTACGTGCCTAGGGAGCGAAAAACTGAAAAGCCTCAGAGCACGCGTATAATCATCGTCCGCGAGGTTTACGAGAACTTATGCCGGCTACCGTTGATTTTTTCTTGGATAACGGTGCATATAAATTTAGCTTCGAGTTTCCCGATGCATCTTACATCGGCGCAAGTTATTTTCCAATATCAATTCGGTGAAACTTTGCCTCGGTACAAATTGAAACTAACGCGTTATCTTCTTCAGGTTCTCAAGCTTCTCGATGCCACGATGATAATGATGTTTTTTATCAAGCTTAGATGTCTGCAAAAGTCTTCAGATCTCGACGAAAATTGGCACGACGACGAGGAGTTTGTAGAAATAGCGAAAATTATGAAATTTGATGAGCATCTGTCGTTCTACGACTTGAAAAAGTTTCAACCCGAAGAGGCTATTCAACGACTCAAAAGTATTGATTTCTGCTATCTGACATTTTTTCGAAGTTCATTCATCCTCCAAAAGGCGCACTGAGAAAAAAAATTCATTGATTCAATGAAATATTTATTCAAATACAATCTATGAAATAATTTCATTGAAATAATGAATTTTTATTTCATCCAACAAAATGCTTCAATCAATCATTTGATTAAATTAATAGTAAATAAAATATTAAATTAGATTTCATTGAATCAATGAATTTTTTTTTCTCAGAGCACGAGGAGGGTCTTCTTTCAATCAATTAAAACCATTGATAATTATATATTGTGTCAGTCAAAGTACAATATTAATTTTCCAAAGATCACTAAGAACTGTCGATGACAGCAAACCCCCAAGCATGTGAAATAAATAACTTTGCGAAACAAAAACATGTCATTAATTCATTCCTAATTTTTTTTTTTCGATCGACTGGCATGATAGAACTAGTTGAAAAGAAGTAAGCGAATGATTTCTTGCTCAATGTATATACCTAACTGGTAAATGACATAATTTTAATTTTTATTGTTTTCTAGAGTACGGTTGATTTTATTAGGATTAATGAAAAATTTAATGAAATTCATGCTATTGAGTTCCTGGTGGTAGTCATGTTATAAACTGACATTTATTTACATAGTTAAATACAATATTTGTTTACAAACTGAGATCCCTTCGTGAATCATACTCAAAATCGGCGGGTTTTTAAATATTCATGTCTGTTTTAAATAACTGTCATAAATGTAAAAAATATATATTTTTCATACACAACATTAACATTTTCCGTACAAAAAATATATATTTTTTCATATAAAAAAACTCGAATATATTTTGTAAACAAAAAGTACGTTACTCAACTTTTCATCGTTCACTCGACGTCAGTCCTTTTTTCTACACTCTCCGATGGAAAAGTCACCTATATACACACGCGCACTTTCGAGAACGAATCCCTACGTATTGCGGGCGAAAAAAGTGTACGCCCCGAAGAGATCCAGCTCGGGTCTCGCCTGCTCGGGCAGCATGACGTTGCAGCGCGTCAAGCACTGGAAGTAGAAGAGGTAGCACAGCATGCCGCGCCAGCCGTGCAGGCGCGCGGGAAGATTCTGGCCGGTCGACTCGACGCAACGATTGCCGACGTAGGCGCAGCTGTGCATGCAGATGCTGTAGTCGATGACGAGCCTGTCGTAATGATCCACGAGCGCGGCGCTGGGAAGGGCCTGCTGGAGGAGGAGGACGACAGCGAGCAGCAGAGCAGTCGCGATATTTTTGCGCTGCATGACGACGCCTGGATCACTGCGAACAGAATGTGTGAAACGAGGGTCGTTGAATATCTTTTTCATTTTAAACTACCGACGAATGTGATGTAAACAAATGTGCGTGCGAGAACCGTGAATTGTTATTCGAACGAGTATAAGTTGAAAAGTTAGTCAAATACGCGATATACTAATGCATGTTTGGAAAAATAATATTTGATGAACACTTGTTACATTATTAATAAAGAATCACGATTAAAAATTACCTAAAATTGAGTATCAATTTTCAAAAGTCGACCTATTGACACCGTTGTCGTGGTCCGAGCTCTCCAGCGATCCTAAGCTGGTATACTTCTCTTTCCTCTCTGCTCGTCAATTCGAATTCAGCATTGCTATCGAGGGCCGAACGAAACTTCAGCGCCTCTATCATTTTAATGAATTTTCTCGCGCTTTAGACGGCGGTCGTGCAGAGAATTCACACTCGATACAAATACAAAAGTACGAAGAAAAAAGTACGCGTTCGAGTGGAGATGTTTCTTCGACGAGAAAATTAAGCTCGCCGCGACTGCATTGAAATATTTAAATGCAAAAAAAGTCTTCAGGGCCAAAACTAATTTTAAAATTACTGACTTCGAAGTCTCTGGCACTTATTGTTCTTTCCTCCGAGAAATACCTTTGTGAGCGGGGTCCTTGGGACTGAGTTGGTCCACTGGTATATGGCCGATTCTCTGTGAAATCGAATGGCCAAAAAATTTTTTTTTCTGCAAATATGAAAAACTTGCTGTTCCCGATGTCAGAAATGTCCCCAAATTTTATTAGAATTTTTGGGACCATCTATCACTCTTTTTCAGGGGCCCGAAGTTGGCCATTTTAGGGTTTTTTTGAAATTCATGAAAAATCACAAATATTCAAATAATTCCTGGATTAAAGTAGAATGATTCAAAAGTAAAAGTGCCCAGCAACTTTTTTGTTGGAAATTGTCCAAATTTTCAGAAAAAAAATATGCCAAAGTGATTGGAACAATCTAGGTAAGTGTAAAGCAAAAAAACTGCCAAAGGGACATAAATGATGAAATCTAATCGAGTTCGAACCGGACTTTCATTTCCTAAACTATGTAAAAAGCTTCCCAAAGATGTCAACTACTGCCTGATAAAGTTTTGTAATGGGTCTTAAAGTTTAACGCAATGTAGACAACAATGTGTGGCGAAAAACATGCAAAAAAGGTCAAAAATAGGCCCAAAATGCCTAAAATCACCAAAAACAGCCATTTTCAGGCCTTTTTTGCATGTTTTTCGCCACACATTGTTGTCTACATTGCGTTAAACTTTAAGACCCATTACAAAACTTTATCAGGCATTAGTTGACATCTTTGGGAAGCTTTTTACATAGTTTAGGAAATGAAAGTCCGGTTCGAACTCGAGTAGATTTCTTGTTTTGTGTTTTTTTTTTATGTTTTCCCACTATGCTCTCTTTGGGTGGCTCCAATCACTTTGGCATATTTTTTTTCTGAAAATTTGGACAATTTCCAACAAAAAAGTTGCTGGGCACTTTTACTTTTGAATCATTCTACTTTAATCCAGGAATTATTTTAATATTTGTGATTTTTCATGAATTTCAAAAAAACCCTAAAATGGCCAACTTCGGGCCCCTGAAAAAGAGTGATAGATGGTCCCAAAAATTCTAATAAAATTTGGGGACATTTCTGACATCGGGAACAGCAAGTTTTTCATATTTGCAGAAAAAAAATTTTTTTGGCCATTCGATTTCACAGAGAATCGGCCATATCTATACGTTAAATTATGACAACGCTTAAATGACGTTCTCTTCGTATTTTATAATCTGATCCAGTTGAGAAAAAACTATCTGCTCATGGTAACGTATTAAGGCAGTCTCAAACTTTTTAAAGACAATAAAAGATTATGAATATACAAAATACGAATTATATGAAAATTGCTGCAAACTCATACTAGTAACACCTGAAGAAGCGCAGATCTTGCCATACAAGACCCGAAAGATTATAGTATTTTGCTAGTGCCAGCGTCAAACTTATTGAATGAATTCGATACGGAAAATTTTTCGAATACATTTTTATTTATAATAATACAAAAATAACAATTCAAAAAATACATACGAAAAACTTGAAATAATGAAAAATTGAGTCGAAGACCATGAATGATTGCGAATAGACAAATAAGAATAAACTCCGATATAGAAAAAAATCGGTAAGTCCATAATTTTTGAAAATTTTTAAATTCACAGATTAAGCATATTAGCATATGTAGCACACGTTGCCGAACACTTCCCGAAAGCGTATTTGCACGTTTGAATAGCCGTGTTATCAATGCACGAGTAACCATCCGTGGCGTATAAGCAAGCGGCTTTAACTCCAAGGCAGCCTGCCTGGCACGCGCCGTGAGCTGCCGGTCCATCTATGGCAGTACTGGGCTACTGCAGCAGCAGCCACAGCATCACGAGCATGACTAGAACCATGAACGCAAAGTTCAGCATTTTGAATTCTGCAAAAAAACAAGAATGACAAATAATTAATAAGTCTCATAAAAATAAGCATATATAGGAAGATGTATGATCGGTATAATTGGTATAATAGCAATTGTATCTCGAATAATAAAAATCGTGAATCAAACGTTTTATTAATAATGAAAAAAATTAAATACCTTTGATAAAGTTGACGAATTAAGTTGAAAGAAATCGGCAAGTGTCTCGACTGTATGGGTCGACTAAAGTGTCGTTGCCGCGTCGAGCTCGAAAGCGCAAATGAAACTCACGAGAGTCCGCCGATTCTTTTACACCCTCGCCTTCGAAAGGACGCGCGGCACGAGATGCCGAGTCAATTATTCGGCCTTCGGTGCTGACTAAATTTTCTGCATTATAGCCCTATTGTTATAATACGAGCCTGCATATATAGGTAAGCGGCTTTGTAGTGCGCCAGCGTGAAGCTACGTTGTGCTGCGCAGGCGGGTGAATATCGCGCTGCATGGACATGATTACCCCTGGCTCGGCGCGAAAGAAAAAAACAGTCGGTCGAAAGCCACCACCACCTACGCGTATCGATGGATTTCGTAAATCGTCGACGCGCGACACGATGTCGTTAAAAAAGTTTCGCGGCTACTGCCAATAATATTCCATCTTTTGAAATCGAGTGTCGTGCCCGATTACTATGCGATAACGAACGCACCATCATCGCGAGCGTACGTGACGACGACGATGGCGAAATTCATAGCGACGATCAAGGCCATCATAACGCGCATCGTGTTCGCCTCGCACGGCTTCATCGCCATCTGGCAGGTGACGAACTTCAAGCGCGATCCCGTCTACTGGTACCTCTGCTGTCCCATCGTGCTGCTCTTCTTCGAGGGCATATTCACCCTGACGATCAAGTCCAATCAGGAGTGGAAGTGGTGAGCGCAGAGATCATTTGTCTTTTTTTTTTTACTTATATATTTTGAATTTTCGAATTTTCGACTTTTTTTAACGCGTAAAACCGAATGCAGCGTCCACGCCTTAGCTTATATACGCGATAAACGCGAATTCTTGACCTCGATCGAGTTGCGGAACGAGGTCAAGGCCGCGCGTATATAAGCGATACGTCGGTTATCAATCATAACTAGTGAAAACTACTCCCTACGCGCGCGCGCGAAACGATGAACGATGAGCAGCGGAAATTGTGCATTAGGAGTAATGGCCCCGCGATCGAGAGAGACTGCGCCCAGCCCACCACGCGATTCCTTGAAATTTATATGCCTTTCTTTCTTCGAGGTTTCGTGCGCACTCGTGCACGCTAAAAAGAATCTTATTTTTTTTTCACGTTCTCGTCAACAGGTTTTGCCCGTCCGTCTTCTTGTACCTCGGCAGCGTCGTGCCGGCCATCTGGCTCCTCGAGCTCGAAAAGGTCGATCGCAGGGTGAAAAATTTCGGCGTCGCCGTCATCAACGACACCTTCGATCTCACCAAGCTCGAGGATCTCAAACAGCTGCAAAAGACCCTGGGCGTGAACATACGCCTGCCCGAGCTGCAGATATCCACCGAGACCTGGGTAACTCTCATCGAGCAGTTCCTCATGCTGATCTTGATAATCGGCCGCTGGATGCTGCCCAAGGGCGAGCTGACGCGCGACCAGCTCAGCCAGCTGCTGCTCGTCTACATCGGCACGGCGGCCGACATAATCGAGTTCTTCGACTCGTTCAAGGACGAGAAGGTGTCGCGCGAGCCGCTACTGGTCTATCTGACCCTGGGCATCTGGGCCTGGTCGCTGATGCAGTTCACCGTCGTGCTCACCGCCACCAAGTCGAGAAAGAGTCGACTCTCGTCGTCGTCGTCTGGTGGAGGTGGAGCGACTTCGAGGAAAAAGAGGCAGCAGCATCAGGTGACGAGCGACGATCAGACGAGCTGCTGCAGCATCGACGTCTGGGCGATCGCCATCAACATGCTGCTGCAGGACGGCCCGTTCCTCGCCTTCCGCCTGACCCTCATCGTACACTTCAAGATCGTCAGCTACATGAACATATTCTTCACCTGCAAGAACACCCTGGTGATTCTGCTGCAGCTCTATCGGCTGTACGTGGTGCAGAGCGAGACTCGGGCGCGACGCCGAGAGCTCGACGCTTACGGGGGTCGTCGCGGGCAGTCGTCGTCGTCGCGTCGTCGAAGAAGCTCGGCCGCGATGATGCACCACCACGAGGTGAGCCTCGTGTCGAGGCCCGACTCTTACGGCACCACGGGTCGACGCGGCAAGAGGAAAAAGCGCCGAGATGACGAGGACGAGGACGACGGCGATGATTACAGCAGCGAGGAGTATCGGCCCAAACGAAGACGACGATCCAGCACGAGCCAAGATACGATGAGCGACGATACTCGAAGGTGAGTCCTCTATACTTTACATTTGTATAATTTTATTTGTATCCTCTTATTTTGTAACAGAAAGAAGCGTCGCGATGTTACGTCGAGCAAGCGCGACTCGTCGAAGCGTCGACGCAAACGCGACGCGTCCTCGAGCGACGACGAGGAGGAGGAATCCACCCCGGAGAGAGATAAAAAATCGAGATCGAGGACGCGACGGAACGAGCCCAGCGGCAATAAAAAGGGCAAAGACGATACCGAGGAGAGCAGCGTGGATGACGCGAGCAAGAGGTATTTCGATTAATTCAAATTAAAATTTTTATACATTAATAAATCATTATCGTGCTCTTTTTGTTACAGACGCGAGCGAAGAAAAAAGCGAACGGACGCAGTGGCGGATTAGCACCCACAAAACTTTCGGTTGACTTGTAAAAATCAATAATGAAAATACAATTGTTAATGTATGAATAGATCAATTTAATTTAATTATTCATAATTTCAATAATCAATAGCTCTATTATTCTATAACTTTTAACAATAAAATAAAAAATGTTTTCCAAGAATCTGATTCGATTCTTCATCAAATTAAACTGCTACTGCTGCTGTCGTTGCTGTTGCTGTTCCCGCTGCTGCTGTGCGTCGGCGTCGTCGTCGACTCTTTCTTCGACAGATCCAGCACGTAGTAGGGCTGGCTGTAGGCGAAATTATTACTAACGGCGACGCCGTTCGTATTGTGGCACGATTTCGGCATCAAAATCGTGGCTTCGCTCGGCGAGATCGTGCGAAACGTCTGTTGCTGCTGTTGTTTGGCTACAGCGGCTACGGGATTATTGCGTACGAGCAAGTTCATGTCTGGCACCCACGGCATCGCCACGCGTTTCATCGTCGTCGTAGTAGCCATTGGATGATGTTGATGGTGATTATGATGATTGTGCGGATGCTGCTGCTGCTGCTGCTGATGGTGATGATGATGATGGTGGTGGTGTTGATGCGACATGGACGTGGGTGTGGACGACGACGAGGGCGGCGACGAGGTCGACGTGACGGTGAAGGGCTTCTCGCTGGATTTGAGCTTTTTCGCCAAGTCCGGGGCTCGCACGAAGAATACTTTTCCTGCAAAAATTGTTGTGAATTTAACGATGCAGTTAGCAAAGAATAAAGTAGTAAAAAGTGTCGTAATCTTTACCATTGCCATTGAGAGCGGGTACTCCGCAAAACGGCATCGTAAGCGGCGCACCAATTGCTGCGTTAGAATTCGTAGACGTTTGCTGCTGCTGTTGCTGCTGAAGAGGCCTCGACGGCATCAGTAAAATTTTACCAGGCGTCTGATGCTGATGCTGTAGCTTTTGTTGATTGGCTTCGCGCCAAGAGCGCAACATATCCTGCGTGATTATTCGACCAGAGGCGGGGATGGCTTTGCCGGCGACAGCAGCAGCAGCAGCAGCGGTGGCGGTGTTGGCTCCGGTAGCAGCGGCCGCGACGGTAGCAGTGGTGGATTGCTGTTGCTTGGCCGTAGTAGTAGTGGCCGCGGTAGCCGCCTGCAGCACGGCCGCGACGTTCTTGTTCTTGCTCAGCTGCACCTGCAGCAGTCGCGGCCGCGAATTGAGCCGCTGCTGCAGCAGCTCGAGCTTGCGCTGCTGGCTCAGATTGTAGCTCTGCGAATTTATATTTTTTATATTTTAATTGTATAATAATGTATTGTGTTGTTACGTCACGTAAGTACGAAACCGTCGTCGACTAACCTGTAGCAGTTGGTGCTGCGCCTCGCCGAACTGCTGGGCACGATGCGCCAGATAAGCCATGACCTTGGACCGGTCCAAACTCGACAGGACGATCGGCTGCTTCTTCTGCTGCTGCAGCAACTGTGGCGTCTGTTGCTGTTGCTGTTGTTGATGCTGAGAAGGCGCGACGTAGGCGATGGCCTGCACCGGCCTCGTTGTAACCGTGCCATCCGCGGCTCGTTGTCTCCTCGAGGTCGTCGCGATCGTGGCCGTGACCGTGGCCACCGGGGCTACGGATGACTTCGCAGAAGCGGCGGTAGCGACTTGTCGACGAGACGCGGCGCACGAGGACGGAACGAACTTGGGGACCGGCTGCGCGACGTCGTCGATCTTCACCTCGTCGTAGCCCTTGTCGTCCGGCCGATTGACGAAATAGCGGCCGTTGTGCTCCGTAGCCAGGCCGAACTGCACACCGATACAAAGATTCGATATCGCACGATTCACACTCGCGTCGCAATTATTTCTTTGCGATTTATTTATTTTTTTTACGCGTACCTGCGGATGATAGACCGGGCGCTCGTGCATGCCGTGGCTGGGCCACTCCTTCCACTCGACCTCGTCCTCGCCGGTGGGCGCGTCGAGGGTCGCTCCGATGTTGAACGAGCTGCGCGTGCCGATGCTCGACGTGCTCGTCGACGACTCCACCAAACCCTGTATCGCTCCGCTGCCACTGCTGTTGTGCTGCTGCTGCTCGTTGTTGTTTTCGCAGTATAAGCTCTTGGCGTTGTTGACGTCGGTGCTTCGACGCTCGTCTTCGTCGTCGTCGTCGTTGTCGTTGTCGCTGCAACTGTCCCGAGACACGGCCGTCGCGGCGTCGCTTCGACGTCTTCGTTTTCTCCTCTTTACGGGTGCGGTAGTACTGCTGGCAGTAGTGTTGTTGTTGTTCAGCAGTCGTTTGCGCGTCATGCGTTTGTTGGCGGGATTATTGTTGGCGAGGCTCTCCTTGCGCGCCGCCGCTACGCTACGCAGAGGATTGCGACGCGGCTGACCGAGACATCTGCGCGCGAGAGAGACAGAAGAATAATAATAACGGAGTTGTTTTTGAAAGAAATAAAAGAAGAAAAAGATACACTGCACGCGTAAAGATGAATTACTTTTTACTGCTGCGAGTTCGCTGGACGATTTTGCCGTTGGCCAGACGTCTGCGTCGCTTCACGTACGCGTTGCCGCCACTAGTGACGTCTGCTGCCGCCGGTGACGATGCCACTATCTTTGTTGCTGTTTCGCCTACAACACTCGGTGGTGGCGATTGCCACTCGTTTATCGGGTCCATTGCTTTCAAACTCGAAACACCGACACTGTTGCTCGAGCCCGCCATTGACGCGCTCCTGCTTCTGCTGTTTTTTTTTTATCTCACCGCTGCGCCGATTACACTCCGATATACGTATAGTGAATTCGACTCTCTTCTTACGGAGCTATGTGCTCGAGTCTCTCTGCCGAGCGCCAACGAAATACAACTGATGTAACCGAGGGACTACGCGTGTACTATATCGTATAAGGTACTCAAGCTGTCGAGCTGTCGCGCTTTGACGCGCAAAATCCGTCCGTCACCGTCGATTGTTTTCAAGTGCGACTTCATTTGGTCGCGTTTCAGGTGCAGTGTGTGTACGCGGCGAGGTTTTGAAACGAAAAACAAGCGAGAGTCGCGCGCGCGCGCGTCGCCGCTGCAAGTCGCGTGTACGGTACTGTATATAAGATACATCGATTGCGGGTCCGTTTCGCGCGTAACTCTACCTTGGAGAGTATTTGCAGCTGATTGATTCTTTGAGGCCAACGACCTAATTATTGATAATCCGACGCGATCGAGATGCAAGCGCGCCGCAAATTTTATTCATTTGCGTTGATTGAGATTCGTATCGATCGAACGAACGAACAAAAAAATTACGAAATAAATGAAAGAAGAGGAGTTTGTTTATTTTACACAATTCAGTTCGATTCGCGTCTATATCGCGACACGCTCTTTAATTTCACAAAATAGCAATCTTTAATCACCAATAATCTCAAAAAAAAAAAAAAAAACAGGAGAACAGTCAGTGGATTTATTTTTTCCTCTTTTAGAACGAACACTTTTTTCGTTGAGTGCGCAATGCGTTTTCAAAAACTGTTTATGTCAGCGCGAAAAGAACGAGCTTTGGATGACTGTAATGATATCGAGTATCGAAGGGCTACATTATTTGTTGTGCTTAGATTTTATAATATACTGTAAATTTGATTTATCGTCTTAACGATTGAATGTTTTTTACGAAAGAAAATTAGAAGACTTGTTTATTTATTAATTTTTTTTTTTATTATTACATTGTGAAATAAAATGCATTAAATAACATCGAACATTGAAAAAGTACTAGAAATACATACGCTTAATTTTTTTTCTTGCATTTATTTTGTTAATGAGTGTAAAGTAAAGTAAAAGGCACAACTTTTAATTTCTACATTGAATCACTGGCCGCCATGCAAACGGCAAACAAATCTTTGTTCACCAGCTTCTCGACGATTTTTTCGCAGCAAAGAATCGGCAACCGATAGTGCGTCAGCTCCAAGAAAAATTCCAGCGCCCATCGGCGGAAAAACGCTCTCGTTGCTTCCTCGCAAAAGCGCGGAACAGACATCTCGCGTTGCTGTGCCTCCCAAATCTCGTCGAAGCGATCGATCATCCGCAAGTCGATAAGACGTTCCACCAAGTCAATCGGATCATACAGGTCGCGGTTTCTCTCGAACAATCCAACCTTGAAGAACAGTTTCATGATCGTCAGGGCGTCGTTTCGGTCCATCTCGTATCCTCCTTTCTCGAGACGCTCGACGACCGCCAGAGCGTCGGACGCTACTCTCAGCTTGACTTCGCTGCTTATGTACTCGAGCGGCTCGTAACGCTCGTACAAGTGGGCCTCGGTCGGGAAAACGAAGTTGGTAAGTTCGGCGCCATTGTTCAAGAGTAAATCGACCTTACTCGGCATGAGTAGCGCCACGGCCTTTTGCAGAGGTGTCCGGCCCAACTTGTCCTTCGCGTCGATCTGCATCGAGTCTTTGCAGAACTTTAACAATAGCTCCGCCATGCTGTCGTTGATGGGACTTCCCATAGCGGCGTGCAGGGCAGTCGAGCCGCACTTCCAGCCTGGCAAGTTTGGATCGGCGCCGTGTTTCAGTAGCAATTCGGCCACGTTGTACTTTTCAATACAGGGCATAATCAAATGTAGCGGCGGATCCGTCTTGTTACTGGCGCAATTGGGATCTTGGCCGAGCTCGAGAAACTTCTCGACAACGGCTACGCAGCGGGACATGCAGGCCACGTGAAAATGCGTCAAACCGAACTCGTCGACGTAGTTAACGTCGAACCTGTCGAATATTTGAAATAGCTCGGCAATGACGGGGCTGTCTAGCTTTCCGTATCTGGCTGCCCAGTGCACCGGTGTGGTGCGACGCAGCAACGGCTCGCCATCCTTGTCCACCTCTGGCTCGTCTTTGTAACCGGTTCTGATAACGAATCTGATTATCGGAGCTTCTTTTAAAAGATCGTAGAATTTCTCCATGTTCCTCACGTCCTCCGTAAGAAGCCAATCGATCTCTGCGGGACGAAAAATGTCCCGAAGATTTGGAAGTTGGCCGTTCCATTCGTAGATCGTGGGATAGAATTGTTGATGGAGAAAATTGAGTCGCTCATTTTCGACGTCCCAGTTGACGTTTTCTCGCATGGTTTTTAATTGTTTCAAACATCTCACGTCGTTGGCCATTGTTCTATAATGCACTCGCGCACGGACACAATTGCTTATAAAAAAATTCAAAAAAGTCACTTGCTGCGGCCTATATACGCGATACGTCGATACGCTCTAGCGTCGTAACGTGTACTGGACTCGATGTGCGGAGTGCCAACTACCGACTGACGAAGTGTGTATCTGTGCACTGCGTGGCGCGTGCCGTCTTTATAACCGCCACACTCTCGAAACGAACTCGAGATTCGAGTCGGGCGCGCTCAAGCAAAAACGTAAACACATCGCGTGACACAAAGCGAGTACGCGCCTATACTCGATTCGACGCATGGGATGCCCCGAAAGTCCGTTAATTAATTGTGGCGAGATTGGATGTATAAAAAAAAATTTAAATGAAATAAAAGAAAAATGAGGAATTTGTTTATTTTCAGTTCGATCGATTCCATTTTCTACGTATGCGAGTTCAAGTGCACGACAATCCCGACAAAGAGTAACAAATATTTTTTTTCTTTTTCGGTATGTTGAACAAAACGCAGGAGAAAATTTCGGTAACATTTACACAGATTTGATGCGTTATACTTTACTTATGTCGTCGAGATTTGAAAGACAGTAGCATTATCGGGTATCGGAGTGCTAAATTGTTGTTTTTATTATTTAGCAAAGCATCTAATCGACTCTCGCGCGTTCAGTTTTATTGGGCGAATGTGATTTTTTTCAAGAAAAAAAATTATAAGACTAACTTATTTATCAATTTATTTTATTATTGAAATAAATAATCAACTATATTTATTGTAACATCGTACATTCATAATGGTAATCGACGTAACAACTACGAAAATCACTGGGTTAATCAATTCACATATCGATAAACTTAAATATGTTCTTAGGGATATAGTTAAAACCATTGGCCGCCAGGCAAATGTAAAACAGATTCTCGCTTTTCAGGTGCTCGATGATTTTTTCGTAACAGAGGATTGGTAACTGGTAACGCGTCAGATCCCAGAGCGAATCCAGTGCCCAACGTCGGAAAAATTCTCTTGACATTATCTCGTACAGATACACGGACCAAGTCTCGTGCGAATGACAGTAGCTTTGCTGCCTTTTCGGGCCGTAAGTGATGTAGCACGTCGTACAGCGAGATGTTTTGTGTCACCATGTGGTTTTTTGCTTCGACTGAGAGCATCTTGTCATTATAACAAGACTCTTTCAGATCCTCTGTTTTGCAAAACAATCTGATTTTGGCGAAAAATTTAATAATTGTCAGGGCGTCGTTTGGGTACAACTCGTATCCTCTCTTCTCTAGGCATTCTACGACGGCCAGAGCGTGAGATACTGGTATCAATACGAAAGAAGCTTAAAGTCGCGATTGATATCTCTCGGCGAAGTGACTCTCGTCGGGAAACAAGAATTTCGATAGGTCAGCGCCGTGATCCAAGAGTACATTGACCATATACCGCAAGAGGTTCGTCACCGCCAACTGGAACTGTATCGATCGAACGAACGAACAAAAAAATGACGAAATAAATGAAAGAAGAGGAATTTGTTTATTTTACACAATTCAGTTCGATTCGCGTCTATATCGCGACACGATGTTTATTCACAAATAAGCAATTTTTAATCACCAATAATCTCAACAAAAAAAAAAAAAAAACAGGAGAACAGTCATTGCATTTATTTTTTCCTCTTTTAGATCGAACACTTTTTTCGTTGAGTGCATAATGCATTTTTAAAAACTGTTCATCTCAGCGTGAAAAGAACGAGCTTTCGAAGACAGTAATGTTATCGAGTATCAAAGGGCTAAATTATTTTGTTGTGATTTTATGATATACTGTAAATTTGATTTATCGTTTCAACGATTGAATGTTTTTTACGAAAGAAAATTAGAAGACTTGTTTATTTTTTTAATTTTTTTTTTATTAATAAATTATAAAATAAAATGCATTCAATAACATCAAACATTGAAAAAGCACTAGAAATAGATATGCTTATTTTTTTTTCTTGCATTTATTTTGTTAATGACTATAAAAGGCACAACATTTAATTTCTGCATTGAATCACTGGCCGCCATACAAACACCAAACAAATCTTTGTTCTCCAGCTTTTCGACGATTTTTTCGCAGCAGAGAATTGGCAACTGATAGTGTGTCAGCTCCAAGAAAAATTCTAGTGCCCATCGCCGGAAAAAACCTCTCGTCATTGTCTCACAAACCGTCGAAGGAGCATCAAACGTAACTGAGTTGTCCCACGAGTTAATAAATTCCAAAAATAATGGATCATTCAAATCGGCCCATTCGTCTGAATGCATCTGGAACATTCCGAACTTGTCGAACACTTGCATGATCGTCAAGGCGTCGCTGCGGTCCAGCTTGTATCCTCCTTTCTCGAGACGCTCGACGACCGCCATAACGTTACGCGCTTCTTTCAATTTAGCGTCACTACCTCTGATCTTGCGCTTGTAACGTTTGCAGAATTGAGCTTTGGTAGGGAAAACGAAGCTGGTCAGATCTGCGCCATTATTCAAAAGTATATTGACCTGGCTCGGTGAGAGTCGTGCCACGGCCAATTGCAGAGGTGTTCGGCCTAACTTGTCCTTTGCATCGATCTGCATCGACTTTTTACAGAACTTGAACAATAGCTCTGCCATTTCATCATTGATGGAATTTTTCATAGCAATGTGCAGTGCAGTCGATCCCTTTGCATTGACCGAATTAGGATTGGCGCCTTGTCTCAGCAGCCATTCGACCTCTTCCTTGTCGCAGCTGGCCAGAGCCGAGTGTAGGAACATTTCTTGGTCGGACATGGACATCGTTTCGTGCACTCGCACACAGACACACAGTCACTAATAATCCCTTGCAATTTAAGTTATTGATTTTTTTCGCAAGAATCACTTATTACTTCATGCGCTGCGGCTTCGTTACGCCTAACCTGCGTGGGCTGAACTGAACAGTCGAGCCGGCGGCACTGCTATATCTATATTTAGCACAAATCTCGAATCTCGGCATCTCGCGTCGAGTTATAATAGAGTCGCGCGCAAAAGCATAAATGCTCGAATGTTGCAGTTCGAAAATATATCAATACCTAAAAACGCATGAGAAAATACATGGTACGCAGAAAGTAAAATTCAGAGGTACGCCACGCAAACGGCTGTATTTTTCTGAAGAATAATTGAAGCGAATGAAAAAAAAATTACATTTAAAATACGCTAAGATTATATTGCATATGATTCGTCACATACGTATGTAAATTGACGAAGTTGGTAGAAGAGGGGGAAGCGTACACAGCGCAAGTAGCTACCATAATCGCAAGAACGCAAAAGATGAGTTTACTCGATAGTATGGAGCAGACTACCTCGACAAGCAAGTGTTTACAAATTGTTGGCTACACGAGATGTTTGGCCTAGAATATTTTTTCAGTGACAAATCGTGAAAAATTACATTGAATCTACATAATAATCAAGGAAACGATGGAAAGCAGCAGTGACATAGTCAGGTTCGTTAAATGCACGTCTAAAGCAATGGCATAACTAATTTTCATGCATCCGGCCGATAATACTGCCGTACAATAATTTCTCGTGCGATCAGTACCAACTCCATTATAATATATAATCTTCAGGTTGAACGAGGAGCCAAGCGGTGGTTTGGAGATGTCTTGGAACGATTGTGAGTCCGATTCGGCAGACTCGTGGAAAACCAAAGAATTCATTACGTTGTCGTTCAAAGATTTATCAGTATGAGTTAAAGGATTGAAGTAAATTTTTCTTCATCGTCATCAGTAAGTAATCCATGATTTTCATTTCAGGAAAAGCAAGCGAAATTAAAAAAAGTTACCGAGATCAAGAATGATAAACCTAAATTGAAGTCTCCATCAATAACCAACAGTAAATCAGTAATTTCGGGAAAAGTTCATGAAAATCAGAGAAATGAAAAGAGACTCGCAATTGTAAATAAAAAGGGATTTAATTATGATAATAATCAACAGTCGTATGTGAACTCTCGTTTGCAACACGCGGTTAAACACGGGATATCTAAAAACATCGAAAAAGCGACCAAAAAAGGAGAAAATCCAGAAAAAAATTCTAATGCAAAAAGCGAAAGTGATATCCGTAGAAACCCGTTTTTTCGCGATAGAAACTTTAGGGTGCCTTTAAATGCAGTACGCAACCCTAGCAAACCCTTCGAATGTAAGATTTGCCACAGAATATTTAGATACGAATATTCGATCAACATGCATATGGTAATAATACATGGTCCCTTTGAATGTGAGATTTGTCACAAATCATTTGGAGAACGGAAGGATTTGAATAGGCACACATTTGAAGTACACACTCCTATCAAATCCTTCGATTGTGAGATTTGTGCCAAATCGATCGGATCGGAGGACGGCCTGAAAAGGCACTTAAATACAAGACACGGTCCTAAAAATGCCTTTAATTGTAATATTTGCCACGAATCATTTGGAATGAAAAATGAAGTTAAACGTCACAAAGATTTAGTACATTATTATGAAAATCCCTTTCGAATGTGAGATTTGTCACGATTTATTTGGAGCTTTTAATATTTGAGAATTAACTCAGAATAAACATCGATTCAATACATTATCTCAACGTACCCTTGAAATGAGAGAAAATCGTAAGTCAAAAATTATCCAATTTCATCTAAAAACATGATTAATTTCAGCATCAGTGAATTCGATTAGAATCTTATCAAATCTTTCATTAAATGTCATTTGTTTCTAGATATTTGTCATCACCGTACTGGTAAAAATGTTCCTCATGAATAAGCCTTAATTTTGTAATAAAAAAAAAGCAATAAAATGTAGCTTCTGAAAAATAAGAGGATGAGGGGGATAATTTTTATTTATTTATTTCATTACCATATTTTAATATGATCAACAAAATATGTATCGAATCATGATTTTTTAAATAGATACATCGTTGCATTTATTCGTACTCTTACCACGAGAGAACAATCGCGAGCTTCAAGCCAACCCGACACAAATCTTTGTTCTCCAGCTTCTCGAAGATTTTTTCACAGCAGAGAATCGGCAGACGTTGGCCCACGCCGCAACTCCAGAAAAAAATCCTCTCGTATAGTTGTCTCGCAAAAGCACAGAACACAAACTTTTCGCGACGCTGTGCGCATCGTTCCGAATTTCGTCGAAGCGCTCGATCGTCGATGTGCGGCTCGTAGCACTGCTATTACTGACTGACACGACTGCGTGCCGTCTTTGTAACCGCCGCCCAAGCAAGTAACCCAAACATATATCGCATGTGACACAAAGCGAAAATACGAGCATTAAGTACGACGTTTTAGAACTCGTCGCTTGACGATTGTTATTATTTTGCAATCGTAATACTTAATATCTAATTGAGAGGGTGCTAAGCTGAACACCACACTGTCCATTGTTTAATCACGAAACAAGTAGTTCAAGGATTTAACGCCGTATTCAGTATTATTTCTTGTGGGTAAATGTCAGTTCGGTGGTCGCCGCTGACATTTTTTGTAGAAATTTTCATTCAAACCCGCGTTGACGTCGATGCCAGCGCCGCAATCCCTTCCATTCGCATGCAGATGTCGTATGGCTTTGGGCAATCTATTCGCGCGCCGCAACTTCAGTAGTCAGTACAGCTCTACGCGCCACAACGATTAGCGACAGTGCGCGTCCGCAGCTTCTTCAAGACCTGCAAGGGTAATAATTTTCGAGTGTCCACGGCTAAATATCAACGGAGTCTCTCGCGATGTCTCGCAGACCTTTCGCGAAGGGCGTGGAATTCAAGGAGAAGCCGAAACCCTGCTTCACCTCCAAGCTGGTGTCGTCGATGCCCGCGCGCGCCTACAGCATGTCGCTCGCCCTGCGCAACGTCTTTGCTGCCGACGACGACTACGCCGAGCTTGCTGCCCCGCGCGACTGCATCACGAAGGAGGCGTCGGTCAGCCTCTCGAGGTCCGACTACGCCAAGCTCAAGAACGCGTACGGCCAACGTTTGCCCGAGCCGCGCCTGAACGAGCTCCCGGGCGTACCGGACGGCGACCAAGTACTCGCGTATCATCGCGAGGATTTGAAGAAGCCCATCTCGAACGCATCGGTGAACACGTTCGTGAATCTGTTCCAAAGCGCCTACGCGCCGGGGATAACGCCGCATGTGCTGAGCCACCTTTACACGCTCGCGCAGGTGGCTTTCGAGATGTGAGTATATACAAATATATTTTGCAATTGTACCATCTGGTAACTAATGATTTAATAAAGCGAGCCCATGGGTGACCCATGGAAATTTCTTGCACGCAATGTCATTGGTTTTTTGCGCACGTTTTTATCGTTTTTTTTTCACAGGACTAAAGCAGATCCCGGTGACCGAGCTAAGCGGGATATTTTTACGTCACTGGAAACGGGCATTCCGTTGACGAAAGAACAGCTGGCCAAGCTCGTGCACGTGGGAGTATTTGGCTTTGCGGAAGATCACGCGCTGCCTGTGCGGCACCAGAACGATCCAGACTTCCTCGCTGGATTGCCGTATCCTCGTCGATTAACTCCCAGCGAAATCGACCATTTGCGCTCGATGTGCAAAAACATCAGCACGCGCGCCGAACTCATGGCGCTGGTCACCCACCCGAAGCACTACGGGATGCTCGAGGAGCGCGACAAGGCAACGACGATGCTGCGCTTCGCCATTCTGGCTTATAAGAAAAACTGGAGGCGCCCCGACTCTGCACCGGGGCCGGCGTGCATCTACAGAGGCCGCGGCGCCGGCGATAACAGAAATGAACGCGGCCAGTTCGCCGAACGGATTCAGCACGTGATGTTGGTGGCACCTGGCGAGACAGCCAAGAACCGTGGCGTAAAGACGGTCGGCAGGATCACGGGCGAGGAAGATCTAGTGCTAGCGAGAAACATGAGCGATGTCGATGACAACGACGTGTTTGAGCCTAAGAGGTTTGTGTTTTTAAGTTGATCTTTTTTTTTTGGCACATTGTGTTCAAGTGTTTCGATTGCTGCATAAGGGTGAAGAGACTCAAGAGAGAGAGTGGTTCCAACAACAAGGCCCCGTCGTCAGCACGCACGCAACGTGGGGCCATCGGAGCTGCTGCTTCTACGTAAGTACACGATTGAAGGCATGTCAAAAGCGATGCAACGCTACTAAGCATACTTTGCAACCGACCTATAATACTGCCGTAATATTTTCTCTTGCGTTCAGTTGGTAGTGCAAACTCCATTGTAATATATAATCTTCAGGTTGAACGAGGAGCCAAGCGACGGTTTGGAGATGGCTTGGAACGATTATGAGTCCGATTCGGCGGACTCGTGGAAAGGCAAAGAATTTGTAACGTTGTCTTTCAAGGATTTATCGGTGAGTTGAAGGATTGAAGTAAATGGCTCTTTATCGTTATCAATACTACTAGTTCATCATTTTCATTTTAGAAAAAAACAAGCGAAAACACAAAAAAGATGCCGAGGACAAGAATGATAAATTGAATTCTCCATAAATAATGAACAGATATCAGTAATTTCGGAGAAAGATTATGAAAACCAGATCAATTACGTAAATTAAAAGACTTGTAATTGTAATTAAAAAAGGATTTAATTGTGATAACGATCAATAGTTCAAAGTAAAACTCCCCTTTGAAACACGCTGATGAACACAAGATCTTCAATAACATCGGGAAAATGAATAAAGTAGGAAAAATCAAGAAAATTTTTTTTAGCGTTAACTGTAAAATTCACGTGTTCCTTGAAAGTTTCGCTGTCCCCTTTAAAAAGAGAAACACGACTTTTAATATGAGTATAAGAAATGTTCAAGTTTTCGAATGTCAATCGAGCACATTACATTATCTTTGTCCCATTGTAAGATAAGCGTATATAGCTAAAATTATAATGCACGTGCAGCATCTGTCAAAAAGAGAGGATGAGGAGAATCAAAGGTGATGCATAAAATAACATAATTTTTCAGGTACTTAACTTCGTTCATCGTATTGTTTATGAATAAGAAAATCAAAGTTCATTTACTTATTTTATTACTATTGTCATTATTATGTTTTAATATAATTAATAAAACATGTATCGAATCATAATGTTTTAAATAGATATTTCGTTGCATTTATTCGTACAATTTTACCACAAAAGAAAAATCATGAGCTTTGGTCTACGGCTGCCAAGCAAACACGACATAAATCTTCGTTCTTCAAGTTCTCCAAGATAATTTCGCAGCAGAGTATTGAACAATCAAACGAACTTGTGAAGTTCGATTATGATTATTCAAGTTCCTTGTTCGAAAAGATTACTTGGTAGTACTACTCCTTCGACGTAGATGTCGCACTCGTTCAGAGACTCAAAACTTCGTACCATAGGGTGCTCTGCTCTCTATCTCGCCACTACCCGTGGCGCGCTACCGTCATTAAGTTTAAAGTATATTTTCATGGGTTGGGTTGTATTTATACATTTTTTTTAACCAAATTTTTGGGTAAATAAATTGGGTGGGAAAGTAATCTTTTCGAACAAGGAACTTGAATAATCATAATCGAACTTCACAAGTTCGTTTGATTGTTCAATTATTCTACGTTCCTTGTTCTCAAGATTACTTGGTAGATTTTCAGATTAATGAAAAGATTACTTTTGTAT